TGATTTATAAACCGAGTACAATCAAATTGACTTGATATGTTCCGCAACCCAGACTTGCAATAGGACAGTAAATTATAAAAACATTTGCAGCAAATTCGTAAAAGATGTACCTTTGACACTTCACTCAAAAATGAGATATTTAAGGAGAATTTGACTAAGAAAATAACAGAAGCACATATTTTTTCCTCATAATATATATATTTAAAAACTATTATAGCTAGATTTATTCTGAGATTTATAGAGAAATGTTATCAAATATTATTTCTTTGGACACTTTCTGTCTAAAATAAATTTTATTGTATTTTCATGGATCTACAGTTCATCATAATGGCCGATGAAAAATTGATTAAGAATTTAGAAGATATTGTAGCGTTCTGTTTTTTTTTTTTTGCAACATTGTTACAAAAATATTTTTAATATATAATGGAAAAAGATTCTTTTTTTACTGACTTTCAATAACATTTGATTAAGAATAATTATGTCCTTTTCGTCATCCTTAGAAAATAAAACTTTATACAAGCCCTTTTTCTTCTATTTTTACCTCTACTTTAATAATCTGTTGGATTTTTCCTGTAGTTTTTGACAAAAAAAAACAATTTTTGTTGCACAGTGTATTTTAGTGTCGTATAGTGTAATTACCGACCCAGAAAAGACTCTTTGATGAACTCATTAAAATCTCTTTCATATATATCTCATCTGAACTGATTGTTAAAGGATTAACACACAATTGGGGTTTTCCCCTTTCCCTACTGAACATCGAATCACTTTTTTCATCCTCGCTTCCATGTAATTGAAACCATGTTACTTTCATTCAAAAATCTGAATAGTTTTTTTTTTTCAATACCATACACTATGTGTAATTGAAAACCTACGCATGCCAAAATTCATAACTTCTTGATGACTGAAGGACAACGTACAGTAAGAAAAAAAAACGTGTCAAGGAATCAATGACATCCACCAGCATTTTTTAAGGCTTCTCAGGAGAAAAAATTCTTTCACACGCGTTCAATAACGCTTTCAGTATGCCAAGGGGGAAGACAGAAACTTTCATTCACAAAAATTACTAAAATTTCAGCACGAGTATCCAATAACATTTTTTTAGATTTTGCATATCAATTTTTATTATTATGGGATCACAGGTCAATGTGAATGAAGGTGATTTTGTTTTCATCCTATTGAAGGTATCGATTTCAATCAGATCTCTCATCTCATTAATGAGAGTACAGTCGATAAGAAATTTGGTTTTGAAGAAGACACTAAGTTTTCAGGGTTTGTTATGACTTTGTAAGAGACATCTTTTCAAAATTTGAATGAATGTCCGAAATCTATTTTTAAATGTTTGTCATGCCATGACTTGTTGTGGGGGACCTGAAAAAACTGTATTTGTATATTGTCCTACTGTACCATTTTATGTACATTTATGGATAAATTTTCTAAAAACACCTCCTTTCCTCTTACATTTACACCAATCGTAGACCTCTCACTAATTATTAATCTAATTATTGTGAAATTTAAAATGGTACCTAAGTTTGTACAATTATAGTACAAAATTTCAAAGCCCTTGCTCATTCTGGCGCACCATCGTCCCAAATTTCTTATTGAAGTGTTATTCTCTCTAAGTATTGAGAGTCACATTTCATTAATTTAGTACTTTTCGGGTAGCCGTACTTACAAGCAATCACATAATTTATATCATTTCCTCCATATTGGTACCCTAAAGGTACAAATGTTTAAACTACAGATATAAAAGAACTTTACTTATAATTTTAAGGGCCTTTTGCACCTCGCACCAGCGACAGTGAAAATGCAAAGTTTTAATATCCCCGACAAAAAGGCTGAAGCTAGAATCTTAAAATTTTGCTTGAGGGTCAGTCTTGATGCGTATTCGTGTGATAAGGTTTTTGAAAATACATACTAAAAAGGTACGAAAAGTACTAAAATGTACTCAAAAATGAATATTTTGTATTAGACAAACAGAACGAGCTAGAGTTCTGAAATTTGGAATAAGAGTCACTGACGGGTTGCAGGTTTAATGTACCAAAGGAATTTTGGAAATTCAAACTTTAAGGTTACGAAAAGTTCCTAAATGGTACTAAACTTCTAAAACGGTACCATTTGGTATTAAGTGAACGGATAGACCTAAGAACATGAAATTTGGTATGAGAATCAAGGTTGGAAATTAAGTTTGAGCTATGAAGGTGGTTTTAGACTTGCATACTCAGTGTGCGAACTGTACCAAATAGTACTAAATTTTAAACATTTTTTAAGGTGAATGGATGAAGCTGGAATTCTGAAATCTTTGTTTTGGGGACTGTTGTTGGTAGGTTTGCAATAAAGAGGTGGTTTTGGAAATGTGTACTACAAGTGCTCGAAAAGTCCCAAATAGTGCTATTTTTGGCAAAATTGGGTTTAGGGTGAACATACAATGTTTAAAATCTTATATTTGGTATTGGGGTCGTTGCTCATGTGTAGCCTGAATATATGGAGGTCCTTTGGAAAATGTGTACCCTAATTGTACGAAAAGTACTTAATGGTTCTATATTTGGTATTGGGTGAAGGGATGGAGAGATTTAGCAGTGGTTGGGAAATACGTCCCATATTTGTACGAAAAGTACTAAATTTGGTACTAGGTTGAGTTAAGGGCTGGAATCCTCAAATTTGATATTGAGGTCTGTGTTGGTATCCTGAATTGAAATATGTAGGTGGTTTTGGAAATGGGTACTGTAATAAATCGAAAAGTACTAAGTGTTACTAAATATGGTGTTGGGTGAGAGAAATACGTCCTATATTTGTACGAAAAATACTAAATGGTACTAAATGTGGTAAGGGAGAAAGGCATAGAGCTGGAAACTTCAAATTTGATATCCAAGGCTTTGTTGGTATTTGGAATTGAGATATGGTGGTTTGGCAAATGTAAACTATGATTGTACGAAAAGTACTAAGTGGTACTAAATGTGGAATTGGGTGGAGGAATATAACTGAAATTCGGAATTTTCATATAGATGTCACTGTTGGTATCTGCGGGTGAAAAAAAGAGCTGGTATTTGGATATTTGTACTATAACTGCACTAAATGGTACTAAATTTGGTAATGGGTGAAGGGATAGACTGGAATCCTGAAATTTGTTATTAAGGTCACAGTTGGTATCTGAGTTTGAGATATGGAAATTGTTTAGAAAATGTGTACTATAATTATTCAAAGTAGTACTTAATAGTACTTATTATGATATTGGATAAATGGATAGGGTGGGAATTCTTAAATTTGGTGTTGAGGTCTCTGTTGGTATTTGGATTTGAGATTTGAAGGTGGATTTAAAAATGCGTACTACAATTGTTTGAGATAAAAGTTATGACAGATAAAAGTATTGAAAATTGTGACCCTTTGTGGGCGAGATACCAGAAGTTGTTCGCAGTTATATATCATCTTCACAAGAGATCTTTCGCTAGAAAAAAATGTTTGTATGTATGAAATTTGAAGAGAATTGGATGCTTAATTCGCTATCTTTGAGCGTTTTGATTTTCAAAATCTTGAACGCTATGTGGGGGAGTTACCTGAAGAAATGATCCGATCTCAGCATTTTTATAAAAGATCTTATGTTGATGGAAATATTGAGGTGTACCAAGTCTGTATGGAATCGGATGTTAATTTCGCGTTTTATGAGTTTTATGGACACTCTACATTTTTAACCTTTGTGGGGGAGGTACCAGAAGGAGTGGACCGATATATTTCATCTTCACACCAGACCTTGGATTAATAAAAATATTGTGATGTGCGTAATTTAAAGTGAACCGGATGCTTATTTCGGATTTAACGATCGTTTTGGATATTCAAAACTTTGACCCTTTGTGTGGGCGGTACCAGAAGGAATGGTCCGATCTCTACAATTTTTATAACAGATCTTGTGTTGATGGAAATATTGAGATGTGCCAAGTCTGTATTTAATCGGATGGTTATTAAAAATTATGACCCTTTGTAAGGGAGGTACCAGAAGGAGTATACCGAAATACCCCACCTTCGCAGAAGATCTTGTGTAAGTAGAAATATTGAAATGTGTGAATTTTGAAAAGACTCAGATGCTTATTTCGCATTTTACGAGCTTCATGGCTATTCCAAATTCTGACCCGTTGTGGGGAAGGTGGCAGAAGGATTGTACCGATATATTCCATCTTCACACCAGACCGTGGGTTAATAAAAATATTGTGATGTGTGTCATTTGAAGACCGTTACATCACATATTATAAGATTTATAATTGTTAAAAATGTTGGCCCTTTGTGGGGGAGATACTTGACGGAGTGGACCGATATTGTCCATTATTGCACCTGACCTAGCACTGGTGCAAATATTAGGATTTGCAAAGTTGGAGCAAAATCGGGTTGTCCTTTCTCTTTCTGTGCAGTAAAATATTTTTTTTTTGGAAAACCTCGACCTTTTGTGGGGAAGGTACCAGAAGGAGTGGACCGATATTGGAGATCTCTTAACTCGATCCAAGTTTGATAATAATCTTACGATGTACCTAGTTTGGACCAAATCGGCTCCTCCCTTTAAGAGTTATCGGAAGTACCAGCCAGACAGACAGACGAACGGACACCCTTAGATCGACTCCAAATGTCCTGAAACTGATTTGGTCCAAAGAGACCTAGGGTCTAAAAGAGTTATTTTAATGAGGAACGTTTGGCTGTTGCCATATGACTGTGGGTATAAAAATCGAAGGTCGGAAGCTGAACGTCCTGAAATGGTAACCTTTGACATACTTTGTACAAAGAATCTCATATGTTGTCCGTCGGAAGCCTGCATCCCTCCAAAATATTTTTTCCACCTTCTGGCTAAATTAGAAGCTTTTTGTGATCACACCATATGAATATGGTACCATATTTAGTAAATTTTAGTTTAGAGCTCTAGCCCTTATCCAGCTTCCAATGCCAATTCTTAAATAGTTAGTACCTTTTTGTACCATTCCTAGACAATATCTTATCTTCACTTCATTACAACCGAAACTTACCCAATTCATTGGGGAACTGTTGATGGGCTTGCAATATCGATCGCTCCAACCACGCCAAATCCTGATGCAGTGCATTATTATTGTTGTTGCTGCTACTGCTATTACTTCCACCATTGTTGTTGTTGTTGTTATTCCCATTTGTACTCGCACTGGCAGTACCACCATTTGTTGTTGCTGCTGTTGCATTATTTGTCGTACTGTTGCTATTATTACTATTTGCCGTACCATTACTGGCCGCTCCATTTGGCGAATTACTGCCCACACTGGCCGAACTGCTGGCAACAATTGTGTCCGAGGCCATCGATACCGTTCCTTCAGAATTCCAAAGGCTATGAGATGTGGTGTGGCCCAAAGAAGCTGGCGTCGTGGTATGGCCGCTGTGGCTATGAGGCGGGTGGTGATGGTGGTGGTGGTTGAGTTGGCTCTGGTGCTGATTGTGCGAGTGTGTATGGTGGCTGGGCGTATGACCTTGGCCCGAACTATGCGAATGTGTTGTATGAAGATGATGAAGGTGCGGCGGATGGTGATGCTGGCTGTGATGATGGTGATGTTGGTGATGGTGTTGTTGCTGCAGCAATGTTGTTGTCGCCGAACCCGGAGACACCGAAGAAATCACCATGTTGGCACTGTTGTTCGACGATGGCGAAATATTGGTGGTAGCACCCGAGGCTTCAATGATGCTACCACCACCACTGCTTAGCAAGAGCGGTGTTGTGGCAACGGCGGCCGTTTGTGATGAGCCGGCCGATGATGTGTAGGCTGTGGCAGCGACCTGTTGACTACTGGTCGCTAATGAAGTTAAATGCATTCGCAGAGAATTTTTACGCAAAGAATTTTTCGGAGCTATTTTGGCGGTTTATTTGGGAACACGACAACAAATGCACTGGCTCTAGATTATTCTTTGGATAAAATTGTTGGGGGATTTTTTTATTTGTTTCTAAGTTCTCTTTTGAGATTTTCACTTTTTTTTTTTGCTGGAATTTGTTTTTATTTAATTGTGTGGGTATTTTTTGATTTTGTGTTTCACTCTTTTTCACATAGGTATAGTGTTGTTGGTATTCCTTTTTTAATATCAACAATTCCACAATTTTATGTTTTTTCACTTCACAGAATTTAGATATTTTTTTTAAGTAGCAATCTGAAATTTAAAAAAAAACACTCTGCTAGTTTTTAACCTTTAAACCACCAGTCTTAATTAAAATTGACAAAAATTATGCTTTGCATATGTTCGAATAAAGAATAATTTTTATATTCTGCCCAGATTTTTGGGAAAATCTTAAATTGTTTAAAGGTTAAAAAATGTAATTAATTTAAATGTTTTTTATATTATTTTATTTTTTTATTTATTTTTTATTTATTTATTTTTTTTTTTTTTTTTTGACAGAAATACTTTTTGCAAAGAAGTTAATTAGAAAAAAGAAGAAATGGAGCCAAATCTAAAAGTATCTGATAGACATAAAATGAAGTTACATGAAATTTCAATATTCTGCCGCCGAAGCTAGAACCCATTATGAACTACAAATACCAATTTTTACACAAATCCGTGGAAAAATGTGCAAAAATCATAAAAATACTGAATATCCGGAGGCACCATGTGAGTCTATACCAAAAAGTGGATCTAATTATTCAATGTTCTGCCGCCGGAGTTTGAATATAAATTTGTAGACAAATTCGTGAAAAAAATGTGGCGAAATAATCAAAATACCTAATATTGGGAGGTACCGTTATATGGGGGCTATACAAAAACGTGGACCTATATATACAGTGTTGCGCTACCGGAGCTAGACCCCATTATGACCTACAAATTCTAGTTTTTAGACAAATCCGTGGAAAATTTCGGCAAAAATTATCAAAATTCCGAATATCGGCAGGTACCGTTATATGGGGCTATACAAAAACGTAGACCTATTTTGACCAATAAATACCAATTTGTAGACAAATCCGAGAAAAAATGTGGAAAAAATAATCATAATAACGAATATCGGGAGGGACCCTTAAATGCGGGCTACACCAAAACGTGGACCTATACATACAATGTTTCGCCACTGGAGCTAGAACCCATTATAACCTTCAAATGCCAATTTTTAGACAAAACGGTTAAAAATGTTTCGAAAATTATCAAAATACCAAATATCGGGAGGTACCGCCATATGGCGGTTATATCAAAACGTGGGCCGATATATCTCATTTTCAATACCAACTATCCTAGACACAATGCAAATTGTTCTAACAAATTTCGAAGCTATACGTCAAATAATGTGGGCTGTATCGAGATTTCAACAGACGGACAGCTTAGAATTTTATGCTGATTATAAATATATATACTTAATGGGGTCTACGACGAATATTTAGAAATATTACAAACGGAATGACAATGTTAATATACCCTCCTTTTCAAGGTGGAGGGTATAAAAACTGGGAACCCAGACAGCCAAAGGATATAAAAACAAAATCCTAAGCCTGGAAGATATGGTTACAAGAAACGTTAAATGATTAACCTTTTAAACCCTTCCTTCCCTCAATTAAACTAAATGCCATATAATTATTAAAAATTTTGAGTCGTTGTGGGAGAGGCACCAGACGGAGTAAAACGTCTTCTAATTCCGTCTTTACACCAAATCGTGTGTTGATAGGAATATTTCGCGTTTTATGAGCTTAATGGTTATTCAAAATATTGCTAGGTGGGGGAGGTACTAGAAGACGTTAATCGATATCAACCATCTTCACATCAGATCTCGTGTTAGTACAAATATTGGAATGTGCGAAATTTGAGGAGAGTCAGATATATAATTCGCATTTTATGAGAGTTATAATTATTCGAAATTTTGATCCCTTATGGAGTGGGTTTAAATTGTCAATTTTCCACCTGATCTAGAACTGATAAAAATATTGCGATTTGCAAAATTCGATGATTTTCTCTCGGTCTATAAGATTAATTATCTTGGCCTTTGTTGAGGAAGGTACCAGAAGTAGTGGACCGATATTGCTCATCTCCGAACTCGATCTAATTTTGACAATAATATTTCGATCTACCAAGTTTATAGCATTAGCGTTTATGCGTTGAGAAGTTAACCGCAAATTTCGAAGGCAAAAATAAAGAGTGATTCGTGAAACAACATTTTTTTGAAGGCCGATCTAAAAGGTTACGAAAATTACTAAAGGATAAAAACTTTGGAACTTTGGTAAAAAATATATACAGAATCGTTATTGATCGTCAAAAGAAAGTTTTTTTTTCGTATCAGGAGTAAGAAACACAAAATTTTCAATATTTCGTACTAAAAAGTTCCCAAATGTACAAAATGGAATTTTCTAAATTTCGTACTTAACGGTTCGAAAAAAATGATGGTAGTAAATGATATGGCATGGAATTTGTACTGAAAACCCTTTGAAGCTCGTCTCGAAAGAGAAATACGCAAATTAATTCAAAAATATATGATTATCGCCTTAACATCAATTAAGTTGATCCGCATTTCTATCGGAATTCGGTAAGGTGCGAAAATATATAAGACCAGTCCACTTCTATCTCGTACCACCCCCATAAAGAATCAGCACTTTGAAGAAAATTAAATGGTATTATATTAAACATAACGCATAGTGTGGAAATGAAATACGTCGCTTCATTTGCCTGTGTTACCTCCTTCACATGGGGTAAAAATTGAGAATATTTATACCTCATTCTTACTGCATTCCAATATTTCAACAAACATAAGATAGAGTATGCCAATCAATCAATTTAGACATTATTAATGGTAATACGCACATTAGACTGACTGGAAGTCTTAGAATCGAGCTGCATTGCTGTAGTAGGGGTCTTGAAAAAATTGTTAAAAATTTGTTATTATTTTTTAAAAAAAATAATTACCCAAAAATGTATTTATACGAAAGATTTTAGAGAAACAAGTTAAAAAGCAATAAGCTCCGAACTTTGAATACCAACCACCATTTGGAACGAATTTGGTAATTTTCAAAAAAAAAAAAAAAATAAATAAATAAATAAGTAGAATCCGTTGAGAATTCTATAAAAATCTTAAAAATACCGAATATAAGGAGTTATCATTATTTTGGGGTTCATACGAAGACTTGGACTCGCATTGTCAATTTTCTGGCACAGGCTGTAGTACCCATTTCGAAGTGCTAATACCAAAATTGAAACAATTCCGGAGAATAATGTAGCTAAAATCATCAAAATACTGAATATAGAAAATATTCGAAGACCTGGACCTGCATAGACAATTTTTTGTCATAGGCTATAATACCCATTACAAATTTTAAATACGAAATTTCAAACAACTCGGTGCAATTCACTGGTATTTTTTTCGGTATTTAGGGAGGTACTGTTATATGGGGAGAGAATGTGGACCTGCATAGACAATTTTCAAAACGAACAATATGAATTTTTAAAAAATTTCGGTGAATAATGTCGCTAAAATCAACAAAATACCGAATGTAGGGCGGTATCGTTATATGGTGGCTAACGAAGAGGTGGACCTACATACGCAGTGTTCTGTCACAAGCTGTAGGACCCATTACGAATTTCAAATACGAAATTTGAAACAATTCCTAAATTAATCAAAAAATTGAAAATAGGGGGGCTATACCAAAACGTGGACCTATATAGACCATTTTCAATACAAAAAGTCCTGCAGAACAAACACAGATCTGAGTAAAATTCAATTATCAACCTATAATTCTTTCAGAAGCTAGAGTGATTTCCACAGACGGATGGACATTGTCATACTACATGGAGTCAGTCTTAAAGTGGAGCTTCAAGCGCTTTAGACATGAATGTAGGTTGAAGTCGCTATGAGTTTCTTTGGAATCTTATTTTCATTGTGATTAAGGTTTAATGTCATACATTCAAAATCTAATTCGATGCTTTTTTTTCTTCTGAAGATCACAATCCACTTTTTTGGATATCCACCCCTCTATTTTTTTCGAAGCAATGCGTAAAAATAAGTATTAATTGTTTGTTTCACTTCAATTTAACACCTGATTTTTGGCATTCCTCAATATTTGGTGTAGCGTTTTTTTTTATTCGGAGTCACAATTTTTTAATTTATTGTCTCTTTTCCTTTTTTGTTAATTTATTTTCGCATTGATTTGTTAATTTGAGCGCGTCACATTTTGACACTTGGTTTTTTAAATTAAAACTGGGCTGAGAGGGGGAGGGGGTATGATAGTTAGTGAGCGCGCACAAACGATCGAACGTACGAACGCATCATCAAAACCAAAATTCAATGAGTCATTCCATTTCAAAATTTTCAGTTCAGTAGTTCCGAAATCACTTTCGATTTGGCCCTCTTCGGGTTTTTGTTTTGACCAAAACAAAGCAAATGAGTGACATGAATGGCTGAATAAATGAATGGTGGATGGATGAATGAATAGCGTTAATGTGTCTCCACTTCTTGTCCAACGGATGATATTCGTAATCGCCCAAGAAGACGTAGCGATTTTGCGTGATTTTTGTGTTGTTGTTGTTGTGGCGTTGAGCGTATTTTAATGAGTTCGCGGAAAGATCAGACGGAGTAAAGCTTTTTGGGGAATGCGATGTGTGATCAGTTTCAAAAGGAGAAGAGCAGACCGGTTCAATTTTCGGTAGAATTTATGTTTTTGTTGTTTTTATTGATATTTTAAAAATGTTGGTGATAAGAAAAACGTTATGTTTGTTGTTGTTGGTTTTTATTGGTCATATGTTTTTTGTTTTGATTTGGTGTTTTTGTAGGCAAAGGTCGTTCGTTCGACTAAATCTTAGTTTATAGTTAAAGGTCGTTGCGTTAAAAATTCCACAGAAAAATCTATGACTAAAATTCGGGTTTATTACGACGGCGGCGGAGTTTTATTAATTAAATTATTAATGTTTAATTTTTTGGATTTTTTATTTCCGTTATTTATCACTTAATTTTTTTTTTAAATTTTTTCATAAATAAATCTTTGTTTTTTATTTAATTATATTTTTTTTAGTTTTATAACTTCAATTTTTAATATATAAAACTTTGTTTCTTACATTCTCATGAAAGAATTATTTTTCACATTTTTTTTACTTTTAAATAATTTTTAATTACTAAATTTTTTGTTATTTTTAAT